AACTAAGGAGAAATTTCCTAATGGTGAGAGCAATCTGTACAATGGAACTACTTGCCTTCATCACTGGACAAAGACTGGACAATCATTTATCTGAAATGGTATAGGGCCTCCTGCTCAAGCGGGGGTTGGACTAGAAGACCTCCACGGTCCCTTCCAACTCTGTTATTCTATGTTCTGTATTTGCTCAGGTTTGTTCTTTGTTTTCCTCCAGCAGCACTCCAGTCATCTTTTGGCCCTTTTAGGCATCCTCACTTCCTCATGAACCACGGAGAATGTTGGGACTGATGGGCCAGGAGGCAGTGCACAGGTGTGATCCTGTTCAGGGTGCAGCTACCTCCTGGTTCCAGGCTGTGGCCAGAACCTCAGTAGGAACATGCAACAGTGTCCCCGGAATCTCCCCCAGCTCCCTTTGAAATCCAAACCGACCCATCAGTCACCAAGGGCAGACAGACTATTGAAACAGATCTGGCCTCCCTGCACAAGAGAATCTCAAGGCCACCAGGGTATGAGCTGAGCATGACAAAAGGGATATTGACAATTATCCCACCATATCCCATTGCCACTGCTCCAACAAGATTACATCTGAAGTGTGATCACTGTCTCGAGTTCAGCCAGGAATGATAACCATCATGGTAGCCATGAACTCCTGAGCTGCTGCCCTGAACACCCAGTAATAGGTGTAATTGTGATAAAAGATGAATCTCTGCAAAGCACCCCCACCAAGGGTTCATCAGGTAGCCTGGACCTATGCCCTTGAGGGCTATACAGGTCACAACCGACACCTTCAACTGCACTCAGAAGCAGACCATAGCTAGGACAGTTCGCAGAGCAAGGATGTAACATGGATCACTCTAGGGCCCCAAAGGCTGCACTTTCTGCTGCAGTTTGTATCAAGGCTGCAGCCGTAGAGGTCAACAGTATTAAATATCTGGGGGTGCAGATAGCGAACAATCTGAACTGGTCTCCTCACACATCATCCTTAGTGAAGCATTTGCAAACCGGTGCCTGCATTTCCTGCGTCGGATGAGGAGAGCACATCTCTCTCCTTCTGTCCTGGCCACTTTTTACAGAGGCATGATTGACAGCATTTGAACAAACTGTGTCACTGTTTGGTTTAGTGGCAGCAGAGCCTCAGATAGAAAGTCCTTACAGAGAGTTGTGAGGACAGCTGAGAACATTATAGGAAGCTCGCTTCCCGTTATTCAGGATACTGTTTACAAGCACTATGAGCTTAGAGCTCAAAGCATTATTAGAGACCCCACACCCACTTCATGGTCTGTTTCTGTTGCTCCCCTCTGGGAGGAGGTTTCGAAGTATTTCTAGCAGGACTACCAGATTCTGGAACAGCTTTGTTCCCTAGGCCATCTGGTAAACTCACAAGATTAGTTTCTCATGCCATGTACATGTATACATAATGGTTAATTTTTGAGAGCTGAATACAATGAAAAATATCCATTGATAAAATAGGTTGCACTTAGTGACCATCATAAAAATGGTTGTAAAATCGAGATCAAATTTTGGACTCAACTGTGGTCTTAAGTTGAGGACGACCTGTATTCTAGTGTATTGTATAGTAAGTGTATACTTCTACACTATCATACGACTAAATTGAACAATGGCAGGTCTTGTCTCAGACACACATAACCTTTAACAAGCTTGATTCCTTATTTAAATAACTAGGTTAGGAGAAAAGATGACCTATATATTCTCACTTATCAAACCACTTAGCTTCCAAACATGTCACCTGAACATATTGTTTTTAAAACTTTATACTAATATTATCAATAAGGAAGCATTTTGCAAACAGTTCCATATTCACATAAGATAACAATCTGTCAGAATAGTTCTGAACTTTTAGGCAATAGCAAACTATACAATTTAATGTTGATATTTTGAAAAATTTAAGAGCAAATGATATAGTGATTTATAGGCATCTTGAAAACAACAGAAATGATTATTAGAAATCAGCATGTATTTGTCAAGAACAAGTATTTTATATTAGGCAACTTTCTCAGTAAAATGATGTAAACATAATATATCAATAAATATTTTTAAAGTACTCTATGATATTATAGAACTTCAAAAGACTACTAAAAGAATACTTATCAATGGTTCCTCATAAAATTTGAGGGAGGTATTAAATCAGATGCCATAAAGTCCACAACCTCCTGAGTCCAGCATTCTACAACATTTTCAATAATGATCCAAATAGAGGGAATATTTACCAAATTTTTACATGACACTAAAACTGGTGAAATAGCACTTTACAAGACAGAAGCAATATTCAAAATTATTTTAATAACAGAAAACAAAATGAAATTTAATGGACAAATGCAAAGTTCTTACCAATGTACAAAATGCAATGATATAAAGTGGAGAAAACAAAGCTTGGTGAAAAAAAATCTTGAAGTTGTCCAAGCTAAATATGAATCAGCAATGCAACATGGATACTAAAAGGGTAAGTGTAAGTTTAGGTTGCATTAACATAATTATAGCATTCAGATCAAAAGAAAAATGTTCTGTTACATTCCGTCTTGGTGAGATCCCATCACAAATACAATGTCCAGTTTTTGGAGCTACAATTTAAGAAATATTCCAAAAAACTAATGCAGTTCCAAAGAAAAGTATTAAGATTTATCAGGGATTGAAATCTGTCATGAGAAATGATTGAATACAATTTGTTTATCCTTGGGGGGGGGGGGGAATCTGAAAGCACATATCTCACCATTTTCCAAGTATCTAAAGCAGGGGTCTTCAAACTTGACAATTGTGGACTTCCAGAATTCCTCCTCCAGTCATGTTAGCTCAGGAATTCTGGGAGTTGAAGTCCACAAGTCTTAAACTTGCCAAGTTTGAATACCCTTGACCTAAAATGGTATCAGTCAGAAGAAGTAACATCTTCCACAAGTCAGAGAACATTTTTCTCAAGATAGAGGAAGATATTTGAATTTTAGGGGAAGCTTTCTAATTGTTAAGGATGCTCTAATTAGTATTTCTGCACTAAGTAAAACATTGGGTTACATGAACAAAATATCAGCTTCCAACTTTATGATCTTTTTAAAATGTCTTACTGTTAACAAAAACATTCAGGAACCAAGGACCTTTCAGAGTTCCTTAATCACTTGAGCAATTTGTATGATATTCCTTCTTTTGCATAATGCCCTTACTCTTTAATTTTACCTAAAATTCTGTTTGCACTGTTCAATAAAAAGAATTCTGATGAAAAACAACTAGAAACTTGGAAAGGCAATTATTAAACCGTTTAGTAATCTGTAATGTTTGATCATTGAAGGGCAGGGAAAATCAATGTAAGAACATAAAGTGTAAAAAGTTAGAAATCACCTGCATTTTCTTTAAACTTTTTCAGAGTATGTAGTAATACGAAAGCACTATTGAGCTGTTTCACAAATGAAAATGGAGACAAGGCAAGAGTCTTATTCCTCCAAGAAAGTAAGAGTGTGATCTGTACATATAGACTATACATATTTCACTGGTTGAAATAAATTAGTGAAGGACTGTGGTTATTCATGATTCACACATAAATCTCATTTGGCAGTATTCTCTTCAAAGTTTTTCCTTCATAAATTTTAAATGGGTGGTTCTGCTCATTACCATGAGATTCTCCTATACAAGGATAATTTGTCAAATGAATAATTTGTCAAATTTGTCAAATAATTTACCAAATGAAACATTTGAAGAAATATTCTACAGTGTCATCAAAATGGAAGGTAAGCTTGTACAAAAAGGATAGCAGACAAGGAAAACTGTTGATAGTATCAAATAAGAACGCACTAACTTGGTTTGCAGAAATAGGCAAATTAAAATATTAGGGAACCAGTATAATATAATATTCAAATTTAGACCAAGAGCTAAAGCGATGAAGGAGGAGCAATCATTTTTATCCATGGTCTGCTTAACCATGGTTACTTGTGTAAACACAAATGGTTCATGGAAGTCATAAACTATGATCCACAAACCACAACTGGAGATGTCATACAGCCTGAATTAATAATATATGAGTTAACAAAATGTGGATCCCATTCTTGAAGAAGCACAAAATAACCCCTGCTGTCAAGAAATACTGAGACACTTAATTTAACCCCGGACCATAAAAACGTGGCTATGTTCACACAACCACCTATTCCAGCAATTCTCAGACTTGGGAGGCCTGAAGATGGGCGGGCTTCAATCCAGATAATTCTGGATTTGTGGTTCACCCATCTTGAAGCTGCCAAGGTTGACAACCGCCGGTCTAATTTGCAGCCAACCAAACCACAATTGTCTGGATTGTGACCCCCGTGATGCATCTGCAGAAGAGACCAAGAAGCCACAAGTAAGGCTGTGTTTACCCGAAGGCCGAAACCACAAACAGCTGGGGCCGGTTCCTTCCTTCATTTAAGGTCCCAGCAATCCCCGGCTCTATACCGGAAGCCTCCGCTAGCAGGCATAGGAAACGCCGGGATCGGGCTCAGAAGTCGCCGCCAAGGACAAGGCTCGCGGGCCAAAAGCCCCGGACACAGCAGCGCGGAAAGCCCCTTCCCGACCCCCGAGATGGGCAGCGCTCCATCCGCCCCGCTCAGCCCGGCCTGCCGCGACGGACCCCGACGAAGAGGCCGGGAGGGGGGGGAGGGGGCAGAGACCCCGCCCACAAGCGGAGGGGGGGGCAAGTGCGGGGGCCCGTCGGGGAGCGCCCACGAGCCCAGGCAGACCTGTCCCGCCCCCACTGGGCATGCGCAGAGGCGGGAAACGCGCGCGGAGGGGGGGCGGAGGGCCCGTCCCCCAACCCTATCTCCAGCACCGACGGATAACCCGCAGCGCGATGTTAAGCAACGGCCGGCAGGAAGGAGGCTCCGGCTTTTAGAAAGCCGAGCGACGAGAGTAGCGGCGTCGGGGTTTTTCCCGCCGCTGCCGCCGCCACCCCCGCCTTTCCCCGCCCCTCACCCGGCTGATTTGCTTCATTCGGAAAGCACGAGGAGCCGACTGCCGCTCCCGCCGCCTACCTCGCGGGCTCCGCGGTCATGTCTCCGTCGCTGTCTTTCGCGGCCGGGCCGGAGGCGGCCAGCTTCAAACGCTGAGAGGAAACAAAGCCGTTGGCGCCACCAACCCCGCCACCTTCGCCACCGCCGCCATCTTGTCGGCGAAAAGAGGAGGGAAGGCCCCTCCTTTCCTCCGCCTTCCTTCTTTCGTTCCGCGTCTCGCCATTGGCTCTCGCGGGCTGGCATCTTTTTTTCGATTGGGCAGGTTACGTCGGCGCTGTTACTAGGGCGGTTGGCGTCATCACTCCTCTCTACCGCTTCCCATTGGCTGCTATGGCGGCTGTCGTCGGCTGTTGTCATGGCGTATGACGTCATTGAAACGGAGATCGGATTGCAAGGCCCCCGGCGCGCCCTCCCGCCGTTTGTCCCAATGCCAAATGCCGTTTGTGCCTCTTTCAAGGCAGGCAAGAGGCAGTTTTGACATTGCACTTGCAACAAACGGATTGGATATTGCACACCTAGCTTGCCAGAGCTTAACGCATCCGTTCTTCTCACTTATTTTAAATCACTTTATAAAAAATGTTTTTAACATTTTTACTGTTGAGAAAACGTTCCACCATCAGCGTGGAAATCCACCTTGTCCCCACTTCAGAAGTTGTGGGAGCTTCATCCCTGGAAGCTTTCAAGAAGAGACTGGACTGCCACTTGTCAGGAATGGGGCAGGGTCTGCTTGGGTGGGGGTGGGGGGGTTGGACTAGATGACCTACAAGGTCCCTTCCAACTCCAAGATACCTTAGTAGATCCTTCTACTAATCACCTGGTTTTGACCTGCCTTGCTATGTCTGGATGAAATTGAACAGAATTAGGTGTGACACTGGAAGAAGCATCTGCCCTGAATCAGTGGGGACCGAAAAATTCCCCTCGTTGCAATTGTGATGCTGATATGCAAACTATTAAAGGTATTGCGCAAGGTTGCCCCTGGCATGCGTCTTCTGGTTCCCTGGATCTGCATGAAGCAACCCAGAGATGAGGGCCTGGAGAGAAGAACTGGACATCCAGTCATGCAGCCATTGCCGTAGCCTCATACAAGCTTTACTTGCAATTACGTGGACTGTGTTTATATGCTTCCTTCTCTTCTGTAATGTTCTCATCATACGCTAAATAATAATTTAATAAAACCAAAATTGGCTGAATTATGTCATTTATCTCTAAATTGTGCTTTATAAAGCTGAATGGTCAACATAGTCAACAAAATCATAATAGTCTTTATTTCTGTGTCACCATAGTTAATTATTACAACTATTGTAATCTGACAATCATGGTTTATAGTTTAGTGCAACATGATAAGGAGCCAAAAGATATATAACAATGGGCCAAAGTAAAACTAAAATGAATGAATATTTAAAATACTTATATCAAGATTACAAAGGTGTTTTCAAGGAACAATATACATTGTCCACCACACTTCTAACCAATCCCTGGTCATTTTCTTAGACAAATCAGTGTTGTTTCTTTGGCAACAATAGCTTTTTCTTAGAAACAGTCTTCCAATATTATTCTAACAAATTGTTTTATTGGACTAGGAGGTATTACTGATAAATTTGTGTTCAGGATCTGTAAAGATTCTCGGTCATCTAGGCCATGGTTATCCTAAAGGTGCTTTTTTCCCCAGAGGCAACTGGACAAACGTTTTCTTTGAAGACGTTTCACTTCTCATCCAAGAAGCTTCTTCAGCTCTGACTGGATGGTGGGGAATGGAAGGATTTATATTCCTTGCAAACAGCTGGACATTTGCATTCTTTTGGGAACACAGGTATCAAACCGGTGGCCCATGAGCCAGATGCATCACGCGCAGGCCATGCCCACCCCAACTCTGCAAACGGGAAAAAGTCACAAAATGTCACGACGGCAACATGACGGCGTGCGATTGACATGTGCTTTAGTCATTGAGGCTACTTGGAGGTTATGTGTTCTCAGGTTCACCTGAGTAGTACTAATGGTTCACCTAGACTGCAATTTTTCTGGAAAACGGGGACAGATTTCCAGAAAAATTGCAGACTACAGGAACCAGGAGCTCTACCTCCAAATGGCCTCAACAATCCTCTAAAAGAGCGCAAATGACCAAGCTGTCTGCAAGACGTATAAATCCTTCCATTCCCCACCATCCAGTCAGAGCTGAAGAAGCTTCTTGGATGAGAAGCGAAACGTCTTCAGACAAAAACAAGGAAGTCCAGTTGCCTCTTTCAAAAGCACTTTGTGTTCAGGATTTGATTTTCTACAACAGATTTTTGACAGCAAGAGGGGAAACTTTAGTTAATGAAATATAAGTAAACGTTGAGGCCACCTGACTCCAAAGTGGCTCTGGGTGGATTTAAAGGAACAAGAGAGGCAGTTTGGTGTCGTGGTGAAGGGGAGACTGAGTTCTAGTCCCGCCTTAGGCACAAAAGCCAGCTGAGTTTGGACCAATCACCAGAAAAGGATTTCTACTCTTGCCTTAGGTACGAAAGCTTGCTGGGTGACCCTCACTCTCTCTCAGCTCAGCCCAGTCCACTTCACAGAGCTGTGTGGAAAATAGGAGGAAGCCTCCACTACTTTTGAGTTATTTATAAAGTAATAAAATCTGAATTTAAAAATATAATAAGAAAAATAACTAGAATTCAGAGGAGAAAGGCCTTGTTTTTCTAATAATAGCAGAACTGCTCTCCAAGGAAACCAAATCGAAAAGCATCCTTTCGTTTTGAATGGGACTTCAAAGTGGCAGTTTCACATTTTACTCCTGTTTTTGTTGCTGGGTTGTTTTAAATATTGCTCTACTCCATCTGCATACAACAGTATGCAGAAAATAAAATTAATAAATCATTAAATAAAATGTAGAATTCAGCCAATTCAACAAATAGACCAATCTATATTTTTAAAAAGACCCTGTATCAACTGACACACAATCTGGTTTTTTTTTTTTTTATTATATTTCTAAAGAATAACTTCCCAAATATATGAGGAATCTATTCTTGGAAATAAGGCTTGACACAATGCACCGATTTTGTAATTAAAAGCATCTAAATCAAGTGTTCCCCAACATTTCCAGCTTTGCAGAACGGTGGGAGGGTGGAATGGTTCCGCATAAACTGCCGGCAAGTGTGTGCGCACGTGCACACACTCAGAGCTCCATTTGCACACTCAAGTGAGGCTGCTTGTGCACACATCCTTGCCAGCTGTTTCCACAGCCTGGTTGCAATCCCCTCGCAGCCCACTAGTGGGCGGTGGCCCACAGGTTGGGGACCCCTCACCTAAATGAATGAAATCTCAAGGATGCCAACATTGCAGGTGATTTGATGGCACCTGAGCCGACTGAAAGGCAGGTGCTCAGCAAGCCCCCTTCTCCACAATGGAGGGGGAAACACTGTGCAGGAGAACATCTCTCTGTGTAGTGAGGCTTCCCAGATGCCGTCAAGTTTCCCCCCCCCAAAATGCTGATTCAGGCTAAGAAATTGTTTATTGGAAGTTGACAAATATCCATAATAGCCATTTCAATATCCATGCTACAACTTGGATGCTCTCAATCATATAAAAATGTATTTTTCAAACATTGTTGGAATCAAATACTGAAAAATAGGATAATGGTGTTAAGGCACTTGAAAGGAATTGAATACAGGAAACCTGCGTAAGAGAAAACTGAACAGCTGAGTTACAGTAGTAGCTACTTCAAGAAATTATCTTTTTCTTGATCTTCCGCAGCCCTTATTACACCTTGCCCAAAATAAACCGATGCTACCAAACCCAGGATGGGCTCTTCTTCCTATGGAGAATCTGGGCCTTAGCCCAAAAACCAAGCAGGACACAGAGAAGGAGAGAGAACTATTCAAATGGCACCCAACTCTCACCTGAAGAAAAGCAGCGATTACCGTCTCTGCTTATTTTGGGATTCTTTCTTTCCTCTCCAAAAGGTCTTGGAAGTTTAAAAAAAAAAAGTCCACTGAATAGTATGTCTCCATTGCCATAGTTAGACAGGTTAGCATGTCTAATACCTAGTTGGGATTCAGAATGAGAAATGTTCCAATTTAAGTGGGTTATCCCCACATCAGCTATTTTTCCAATGAGGCAACCCTTTTGATTTCGGTACAAATGCCAGGATTGTATACATAGCGCCTACACAAGAGATGAGGAGGGGGTTGTTTTTGTGTTTCTTCCTCCCAATTGCTCAATTATGAAAATAATTTTAGTGATCTCTTTTGGGAACATAGTGGAGGACCACAATGTCCAGGACCAACGCTCAGCAGGTGGCTGTTTGGTAAAGATCAGCACAACAATAATAGAACTTAACTGCATCTACAGGGTGATGCAGATCTCAACACTGTCCCCGTTTGACGGAAGAGCAGCATATGACTCGAGGAAGTTCAGCAGCAGGAAATGGCAACGGTCGCACACATGGCATCGTCCTTCCTTCGTTTCTCTTCAGAGAAAAGGCCCAAGGAGGCCACTTTATTAAATGCTTAGGAGGTTCCGCAACTATTTCAACCCCTTCGTGTTTATCTGTTGGTTCTGCTCTTTAGGGGAAAGCAAATCCCCTATTGCGCAGAACCGAAACACCAAAATCTGAGTCTCTTCCCATATCAAGAGATAGCATGCCTAGCTCTGGCAAGAGTTCTCCCCAGGAAGAAAGCTTGCTGAGAAATAAAATCTCTGCAGGTGCTGAAAAAATGGCCAGGATGGGAGCTTACCTATTAAAAGGACCATCTTGGTCTGAAAAAGCCCATTAACCCAGATAAGCCACTTCTTGAAGATCTTGCAGCGTGCAGAACTGCGAAGGGAAAACATCTGTACACATGCAAGGCATAAAGAAATGCGCCGAGTTAAGCTTTTGGAACGGTGGCCTTTTTAAGGCTCCCTTGTTTTTAAAACAAGAAGCGATCCCTTGGCCTCAGAGAAGTGGGAAAGAGAAATGTGCTATAATATGCATCCTGATGTTTGGAGCAAGGAGTTCGTTTTGCCAAGGCACCAGGGATCTTTGGTTAGGTGTGCAAGGATTTCGTTCATTTCAAAGAGAGGTAGCACGATCTGAATCTTGGACGCCAGGGCTCCACTTTGGCGAATCACAACACAGCAACCCTCTTAATTCATCAGAAAGCTGAAAGGAAATACATACACATAATGGATCCGTCTCGATGCACCTGGATCATTATCCAATAAAAAGTGCTTCCTTCCTAATCCCAATGACACCAACCCAAAACAAATGTATTTTGCAGCATTCCTTTCGGGCATTACTTGAAAGGAGGATAAAAAGACACCAAATGAAAAGATGCTAGGCAATAGAAAGCAGGGAGCAGGAAGCACCACGTGACTCTTCAGCGAGTTGGGGTTCTCTAGGATAACCCAAACAGTGCCCTTATCGGGTGTGCCATAAACTGTGGAGTTGGCGGGTGCGTTTCGTAATTCTACTAAGAATCCGTTTCTTGGAGCAGAGTAACTTAAAAAGACAGAAGACACACATACCTGTATGGATAGCCATGATATTTGGATCTAAATATGGAGAGGAGCCAGCTGAAGAACAGCACCACAAGGCCAATGCCAGCCACGCACATTACTACGGAAGAGCAAAGAAGCCTGTTCAGGCTACCCAGAAACTCCCGTGAGACTGAACTGTAAGGAACAGGGGTCAGCACAGCATTGGGAGGGGGAAGGGGGCCTGTTTCAAATTGCGAAGGCTGCCACTGCCTTGATGCATTTGCACAACAGACAACTTCCTACGGACCCCACAGGATGCAGCAGCAGCAGCGGTGACCCTGAAAAGATACCCTTCTAACCATTGGCACCCCTTGGCTCACCAGTGCTCTGGGAGAAAAACTTCAGGAACACTAAAAAAAAAGGGCCCTTAAATCCTTTAATTGAAAGGGACGGCAAACCTATTTTATGCTGGCCATGGACTTTTCCTAGGAAACGCTGTGCAACTGTTGAAACACTCCCCCCTCTCCCCCGCGTGCAACCCGACGAAAGCGTTCGGCAGTCGGTTCTGATACTTACTTTTTCTCTTCCCCACTTCCAAGTCAGAGGTAGCGGCTTCATAAAGAAGCACAATCCCCAGAGTGACACCCGCATCTGTGAGAAGGCAGTTAAGGCTACACGAATGGACAGAGGAAAGCCGTTCCTCTTGGAGAGAGGTCCCTTCTTACACAACGGTTGCAAATGTTCAGATTTCAACCCTTTTACAGGAATAGTTAACAAAACATCTGCCCGTAGTTTATGTTTCATCTGAACATAACATAGAACGAAAATCCCAACTAAGGTGCAGGGTTATGTTTACAGGTATTTCTCACTTAGTGACCACAACTGGAATGCAATGGAATAGAAATAGAAATAGAAATGAATAGGAATAAGAAAGAATAGAATAGAATAGAATAGAATAGAATAGAATAGAATAGAATAGAATAGAATAGAATAGAATAGAATAGAATAGAATAGAATAG